TATTCAAACCGGGTCTGGGAAAAGTTCAAACATGACTACAAACAAAGCAAGTGCTTCTACTGCAAAGTTTTGAACATTTAACACTGCGATCTACAACTATAGTCTTGACTAAATCTAAAAGTGAAGATCATTGAATCCTGTTTTGGTACACATGACAAATTATGAAACAAAAGATGACCCTTTCTTTTTTTCAAAAAAACCTAATATTGTCAAAAATATATATTACAAAGGCATAACACTCTCTCATAACCCGCATTGTACTGCCAGTTACTAACGTCAACCATAGTTGATAGAGTGGAATGAAACTCAACAAAGTTCTTTGTTGTATGTTTCTGTTCGCTTTTTTGTCCTTGACTATGCACAAAACACAATTTAGTTGTTTACTACTGACGGAGGAACTAACCAATAAAAACGTTTTGGTTAATACATAATTCATGCATAGTGTATGAACGCAACACAAAAGATTGTGCACAGTCGTGGACCTTCCAACGTAAATCTTGGCATCTTTGTTTTCTCCTTTGATGTTTGCTGGGCTTCATAACCATTCCCCTCTATTAACTATGCATCAACTCAGTAACATTTGTATGGTCAATACTTCCATCAGCCAATAGCTTTTTTATCAAAGTTATGAACTTGCCAGAATTCTATGTGTATCAGTTGTAATATTGTTGTAAATCACTCTTACCTGGATGCCGGTCATCAAAAGGATCTGGGTCTAGTTTATGGTAAGCCTCGTTCTCACGCTCAACCAACTCTGCTATCCTAATTGAAGAAATCACAACTGAGGTTTGTAACCCAAACATCATAGAATAATGACGAGATATATCACCAAGCACATGAGCCGTACTGGGAGAACATCAGCCCAAGGTTTTGACAGTAAAGACCAAGCACANGAATCCTGTTTTGGTACACATGACAAATTATGAAACAAAAGATGACCCTTTCTTTTTTTCAAAAAAACCTTATATTGTCAAAAATATATATTACAAAGGCATAACACTTTCTCATAACCTGCATTGTACTCCCAGTTACTACTGTCAACCATAGTTAATAGAGTGGAATGAAACTCGACAAAGTTCTTTGTTGTATGTTTTTGTTTGCTTTTTTGTCCTTGACTGTGCACAAAACACAATTTAGTTGTTAACTACTGACCGAGGAACTAACCAATAGAAACGTTTTGGTTAATACGCAATTCATGCATAGTGTATGAGCACAAAACAAAAGATTGTGCACGGTCGTGGACCTTCCAACATAAATCTTGGCATCTTTGTTTTCTCCTGTGATGTTTGCTGGGCTTCATAACCATTCCCCTCTATTAACTATGCATCAACTCAGTAACATTTGTATGGTCAATACTTCCATCAGCCAATAGCTTTTTTATCAAAGTTATGAACTTGCCAGAATTCTATGTGTATCAGTTGTAATATTGTTGTAAATCACTCTTACCTGGATGCCGGTCATCAAAAGGATCTGGGTCTAGTTTATGGTAAGCCTCGTTCTCACGCTCAACCAACTCTGCTATCCTAATTGAAGAAATCACAACTGAGGTTTGTAACCCAAACATCATAGAATAATGACGAGATATATCACCAAGCACATGAGC